CTGTCAATGGGGAAAAGTGAATAGTTATGCAGCCTTTCTATGCAAGGGTAACAGGCATGATATACACAGGATGAGTCTAAAAAAGGATGTTGAATTTAAAGACAAAAATAATATATGAACACCAAAGTGTGATTAAATAAAAGTACATTCATCCAGATGAATCTAATGATGAGCTTGAAAGTGGAATATGGAAAAGTAAGCCTCAATTAGCAACAGCAGAATGTGAGGATCCTACCAGTGCTAATTCTGTTTATGTATTGTTATTATTAAATGCCATATTATTCAGATCTGTGTACTTGTAATTTGATGTTTTTTCAATGATTACAACTACTAAAAAGCTAAATATTAATCCTAGACTTACTTTTATTTCTTTAAAACTAGTCGGAGTTAATATTTTAGAACTAGCCCGAAATGTTTAGAAACTAGTAAGCTGTTTCTATGGTAACAGCCTGCTTTGTCCCACAGAGATCATTTCATACATTCCCAAGAAACCAGAGAACACACAGGTGGAGAAGAGAGATCCACATTTTGAGTTTTCAGGGTCAGCATTGTGATGATTTTTTGTAGGATTTTAATTTTTTTTAAATGCTGAGTGAGACATCTGACATTAATGTTTAAAAGTGACCCAAGCTTACATTTTTTTCCTGTTCTTTAGTTGGGAAATGGGGAATGTTTTCTTTCTTGGTGCCAACGTCATGCACAGATTTCACTTTATTTCCTACTGTGAATTATAGCCAAACTGATCACATTCTGATGTTGAATCTTGAAATCAAGAAGAGCTGGAGCCAAATGCTGGACATCTGTGACTCCCTTCCTATAGATGAGCTGCAATGAAAAGGTGCCCTCAAGCAGAGGCTCCTTGAACAGCAGGGGATGAGTGAGTTGTGATAAACCCCCAGGTGATGGAGGCACCCTGGTGCTGAGGGGAGGGGGCAGCCACCTCCAGCTGGAACCAAATGCAGGGGACGCTGTGTATCTGAAGTTGAGAGCACACAGACTCAAGAATGGGGGAGTCTGTATTGGGCATGTTTCTCTAAAGAAAATGTTTTTTCTTTTTATTTTATGTTGCTTAAAGTAGAATTCCTATTGGAGAGACAAGCCCGAAAATGTCCTTGTCTTACGGTGTTCAACACTTTTGGGTAAATCATTAATGTTTAGCTACTACAGAGACTATTTTGGTAAATGAAGTTCAAGATTAGTAAAAAGACTACTGAAGGGGTGAAAGGATAGCCACGCCCACAGGGCACTGCCTACGCTGCGCAGAAGGAAGACTCACAGGGACGGGGTGGGAGGTGCAGCTTCTGTATCTGTACAGAAGACACGTTGTGAGGATTGTGTAAGAACTAGGCAAATTCTTAAAGGTGTGAAGTGTATAGCAACCATCCAAAATACTAACTCTCATAAATATTGTTGTCAATATTATTAGCATTGTTACTATGAAAAGTTAGTGTCCTCTACTAGGCCTTGTGGGAAAATCTCAAGTCATTCTTTATAAATGATGAAATGAAATCATCCATATGATCAAAAGAACTCCTTTAAGAGTGTTTAGATACTGTAGGGTTTATATGGAATAAAACCAGTTAACTGGAGTTCTGCTACAGCATCTTGCTAATGTACGAGAAAAACAAAAACCATATTTGGTCATATATAAAGCATAACATTTTCTACATTATGCATGACGGCAAAATTATATTTTAAAGTAAAAATCAGCTGTGATGGCGTTTTATTTCTATGAAATGCTTCCCTCTGCCCCAGTTCTCCTCCCACTTCTTTCCTTCTTTCTCAAGGGCTGAAGGCTGAACCCAGGGCCTCGTGCAAGCTAGGCAAGCAGTCTACTGCTGAGCTATGCTCTCACCCCTGAAATGACTTCTTCCAAAATGACATCTTGTGATCTAAAAATAATTGAGCTATATGAACTTTAACAGTGAATAACTGACTGAGAAGTATAACATCACCAAGATGTCCATATTATATCTTTCTCAAAATTTGTGTAACATATCATTACATTTAAAATGCTTACAGTTCTTCCTTGAGTGTCTTTTCAAACTGCCATATAATTTTGACCCTTACTTTTGTTATAAATCCATTTAAGACATCAAATTGAATAACCCTATAGTAAAATGATAGCTGCTAAAAGGAAAAAGAACAATGAGGGAGAGAAAAGTCATGTGGATAGGGAAAAGTAATGTCTTTGAGCTAAGATTCTATCTTTTCGTAGGAAGCAAAAACCAGGAACTCACAGATTAAAGCCACAAAACATTATTCTGAACTGAAAATACCATGTTTTTAAGCACTACAGCTTGGGGAGGCAGCAGTTAGTAAAACTATTAAATATCTACCACTAGGTCCTCACTGCAAATGACAAGGTTGATAGAAAGCTCCCAGTTTTCTCAGAACCTTAAAAATTATAGCTTAGCTACAGATGATCTTCAAGTGACAAAATATTTTATGATCTTTATACACTAACTTCATGTGGCTGAATCAGTGAAAAAGGCACATGTGATAGGAAGTATAAGACCCCATTCTTGATGTGAAATAAAACCATTCACCTGTGAAGGTTATTTTAGCTTCTCCTGTCCTTTGTTGGACCATTTGACGGTCATCCTAAAACTTCAAAACTTTACTGCAGAGTTTTTACCACTGCTAAAGGAATATTCATGGCACTAGTTTCTTGCCCTGTCAAAGGCAGTATTTATGTCCATGCAAATATAAAACTACTGTAACAAGTGAAAATGCCACAGATTTACAAGGAGTCAGATTTATAAGGCAGCAAGTTACGTGCACTGGATTCACCTTGTGCGCTCTGGATCAAAAAGCTAGGATGAAAAGCAAAAACAAACAAACAACAAACAAACAAACAAACAAACTCTGGTCTTGATGGTTTTCCCCTCTATCCTGTGCCTCTCACTCTATGGATGCCACCAAACCAAGAGTGAAGGCATAGTTCTGAGGTGGTGTTCAGTTTCCTTGAGACTTCTGCATAAATTCTAGTGCACACCATCAAATGAGAATCATAGAACTTTGTAAGTTTTGAGGAATAAGATAAATCTAGCTTGGTTTATTAAACTGAGTGTTCATATTCATAGCACCCCATAAAAGTAAACATAAGCACATCTTCTACTTACATTTCTTCTAGGAATGGAGAGACCACAGACAATGTAGTATAGAAAAAATGAGAAATTCAAAAGTCAGAATTCAACAATGAAGGATATAAAAATCCTGTCTAGAAATGTGATTTTATTGCAGGAGTTCTAAACTAGACATATGACTTTAAACATCATTTGGACTGGGAATTCATTCTGTAAGTAAAATAATGAAGACAGTAGGGAGTGACCATGGAAGAGGGAAGAGTCTTTGTTTTACATAGTCACTTAATATATATCAAAAGTCAGAATTCAACAATGAAGGATATAAAAATCCTGTCTAGAAATGTGATTTTATTGCAGGAGTTCTAAACTAGACATATGACTTTAAACATCATTTGGACTGGGAATTCATTCTGTAAGTAAAATAATGAAGACAGTAGGGAGTGACCATGGAAGAGGGAAGAGTCTTTGTTTTACATAGTCACTTAATATATATATATTTGAGTATTAAGTAAAATGTAAAATATTTATAATCCTAGCATATTAGAATAGGAATATTGACACATGCATTGCTTAAAATATATATCACAACAAAATTTATTTCCGTATTCATTTCCATTTTATATTTATTGGCCCGGTTTCTAGGCAGTTTAGGGCTTAAAGGAAGTACTGAGGACTGAGCTAGGTATTAGCAAAGTTTATTTCTGTTGGCTTCACTGAACAGTTTTATTTTTGGAAAGGTTCAAATTAATTTTGTAAGCACATAATATTTTCACATTGACAACTCAGCCATTTAAAAAATTAATTTCTTTGATTTTTTAAAATTAGCACAAGCCAAGGCTAGAGCTTAGAATGTAATAAAAAAATTGATGCTCAGTAATCTTGAAGGTATTTTTTTAACAGTACAGGTTTCTCCAAAGTAAAGATGATGCGAAAGATCATTATGTAGAATAAATGTAGAGTGGGGTTGACTATAGGAGTGCTCCAAATCTCAATCTCTGTCAGTCACGACATCCCTAATATTCTAGGCCACAATCTGAAAATCACTGACGATCAATTTCATTCATTCTACTGATGATCTGATGGCAAGGCACTGGTCCCAGTGGCACATCTAATTTTGGAGCTGTGAAAAGTTTGGCTTTCCCAGGTATGACCTGTGCAAGACAGTCACTTTTGTCTTAGGTTTCTGTGGTCTCATATATTGAGCTAACATTTCTCCCCATTCATTGAGGCCGTTGAAAAGAAAGTGCTTTGTAAAATATATAATCCTATGAAAAAAGCACATTGCTATAGCTGCTGCTGGACCTACAGCCTCATTTAGACAGCTGGGAGTGAAGCCCAGTGATGGGCACACCAGACAGCTAGGTGACCCATCCATAGGTCCCAGATGAGGATGAGGGTATACAGAGCACTGCTCTCTTCAGGGCCAAGGTGATAAACACAACTGAAGCAGAGCTTTGGTTAGTGTTAGGAATCTTTCTGTCCTGTGGGAAAAATACCTCAGATGAATAACTTAAAGAAGGAAAGATGACTTTGATTCAGTTTCAGAGGTTTCAGTCCCTGGTCACTTGGCTGCATTGCTTTGGGCCTGTGGAGACACAGTACATTAATTTGGGACCATTTGGTTGAGGAGCTCTGTTCATCTCACAGTGGCTGGGAAGCAGAGATAAAGAAGAAGGGGTGGGTGCCCTTCTGTGACCTAACATCCTTCCACTAGATAACACTTCCTAAAGGCTCCATCACCTTTGAATAGAGCCAAAAGTTGGCAACCAAGTCTTAAACACATGGGCCTTTGGAGAACACTTCTGAATCTTTGCACCTGGCATCAGTAGCAAGTTCTTTTCCTCAGAGAAACCTTCAGTAAATCTCATCTGCCTAAAGAATACTATATCCATATAGGAAGAAATTGTTTACCTTCAAAGTCTGTGACGCACCTGGCATCTGAAACCATCACACCAAACAGTGTTTGACAAAGGTAGTTAAGAGGGACAAATCTGCAATCAGACAAGATGAGCTTCAGTCTCATGTTTTGCCTCATGATTACCTGCTATGTGCTTGTTATGAAAATTAAAGACAGTGATACACATAAGGGGCTCTTGATCATGACCAGTCTCTGGGAAATATGTGATGAGTGCTCAGCAAAACACACCCTCCACAATCTTCTACTTGTGCAAATTCCTATAAGTCATTACTGGGAAATACACCATTACTGAGAATCAAGACCTATTATGTAAAGGTACAGAATCCCAATGATGTATGTAACTGTATTGTATACCTAGATTGTACCAATAAACTCAATAAAAAGAAAAAAAAATATGGACCTGAAATGTACTTAGGAAATCACCATCAGCACTAATAAGTGAGGGAACTGGAAACTGAGGATGGCAGTTTGTATATCGTACTTCTCAGTAATACTGCATCAGTTTACAACTAAAGCAGCCATCTCTGTGGAAGCCTAAGAAGCACAGTGGTCCTACTCATGGAGGACGGCAAGTGCCAATAAATAGATGATTTATTAATTTGAGGTATGAGGACCCTTCAGATAGCACTTCAAATCTTGGTTTCAATAGCCTTTAAAAAAGATACTAACTAGATGCAATGTCTAATAATTGCAAAATGCTCTGAAACACAGCTGTTGCATTTAAATTCATCAGACAATACAAACATACAACACCAAGCATCATCATGAAGGTACAATGAAAAACCCTAAAAATGCTGCAGATATGGCAAAAAATGTCTTCACTGATCTCTTAATTTCCTCTTCATAATGGAAGTTTTAAAGTAACATATTCATGTAATTTTTCCTTATTGTGCTACCATCTCTTTAATCAAATGCTTAGTAACCAAAGGCTGCTAAAAATAAGAAAGAGTTGTTCACAAAGACTCCAAACGTGGCAGTTAACTTGAGCCTGACCCTCTTCTGACTGCCTTGGAAGGGCTAAAGATTCACCTATGAAAATGAACCCTGTGCACAGATGATGGGTATGGTGGAGTGGACAATGAGCTGTGTGCAGGTGTCTAGTACCAGAGCAGTGCAGAAGGCATAAACCATGGCACACACGATGCAGCAAGTTACACAACAAGGACACGGCCTGTGCAAGTACAGAGCAAGAGACAGACTTGTGGAAGGAGAGAAATGGACAGTGCCTTAATGCTTTTCAAATAAATATGCCAGGTATATTGCAGGAGAATTACACTTTTTCTCCCTAAAAACCTTTTTAGGCCTGAGTTTAACACATATAGTATCTTTTTGGTTCATCAGCCAATGGTAGCAGTCTTAAATCTATAAACATATAAGCTTTCTAAGATTCTCTCACTGATTAATGAAGAGACAGAAGCACTCCCCTCAAATAAAAGGATATTTTTTTTTCTGAAAAATAAAGTATAAGGGAACCAAAAGTTGAAAGGTGCAGGAAGGGTTAGGAGGGGTGAGGATAAAAAAAGACCTGTTATGTACTTGTACCAACTGCTCATAATAAAAAGCTAATCACATTACGTACAGACATGTACTAATAAAAAAATACAGTATGAAATGCTGAACTATAAATAAAAGTAGGAGAGCAAAAGAACATTAAGCCAGGCCTTTTCCTTCTGTTCTTGCTCTCTGCTGCCAGGTTCTTAACATCCATTTAGCCCCAGGTGCACTTGGCACTGGAGTCATAGCTTTTAATAGAATGAGGAATGGATTAACATACAGAGCTGGAAGCCTAGGTGGGGCGTGGACAACAGGGACACTGGCCAGTAATCAGTATTCTTCATTAGCACTGACCTGTGGTCTGTGGAGGTGGTGGTACCTGCCCAAAATTGCAGTGTGAAGGCAATTACTGAACATGAGGCCAATCATACATAACAGAATATTACTGACTGTTGAGAATTTAGAATCTTTAGGGAACAACCAATTGGAGGTAAAACACAATTGTTCATGAATTGACTTCTGTAAACAAAACCATATTTTAAATCCAGTTGAGAAGACTGTACTCAAAGAGCTTTTTTTCCCCCTTTTCCCAGTGCTTGCATGGAATCCAAAGCACTGCACACTGTAGACACCGAGCTACATTCTCAGCCCTTCAAAGAGCCTTTTACTAATTATCCCTTGATTACTTTTTACTTTGACTAAATATTAAGCGAGTGCAAGTTCTACAATTCATTTTGTATTAATTTTCAACAAATTTTGTTGTGCACATTTAAAGTATACCACATGATGTCAGAGAAGACACATAGGTAATAAATGACCACTATATTGAAAGAAATGGACTCATCAACCATCTCACATATTGGCCAATTTTTTTCCTCTTGTACCAACAATGGCTACAATCTACTCAATTTAGCAAAGTTCTTGTGTCTGATTCACTATTATTAACAATAGCTTTTATATCTATACCATAATGCTCAATGGATGCTCAACTACAAACAATTCAACTTTTAATTTGGTTTTTCCCCATTTTTGTTTCTTATTTTATTTTCATCCTTCCTCAGGCAGTGGACCAGATCTCCCTCTTCAGTGAAATCAAGTGGCTGGCCTGTCAGACCCCCACGATGCTGGGACATATCTAAAGAATCGTACCACAGTGATATATGCATACCCATGTTTATAGAGGCACAGTTTGCAATAGCTAAAACTTGGAAACAGCCCATTTGCCCATCAGTTGGAGACTGGTTAAAAAAAATGTGGTTTTTCTATAAAATAGAATACTACTCAGCCATAAAGAATGAGAAATTAGAGTCACTCATAGGAAAATGGATGCATATTGAGGGTATACTTTTAAGTGAAATAATAAGTCACACGTGTAAATACCAAATAGTTTCTCTGGTGTGAAAAAATGTAATTGTACATAAGATCCTAATGGTATAAATGACAATGTGAAATAGGAAGAAAAGGGCTCAAGGTGTAGGGGAAGTGGGAAGGGTAGGGGAAAGGAAATAAGGGAAAGGAAAAAAATATGAGAAAATGAAGAAATGGAAATAAAGTATTTGTAAATAGGGAAGGGAGGAAGGGATGAAGGGAGAGCAGTCTTATGGGGAAAAATGAGATCCAAGACCTGTCATGTAAAGGTATAAGATCCCAATGAAGAATGTAACTGTACTGTATACCTAAAATGTACCAATAAACTCAATGAGAAACAAAAAATTTAAAAAAAATAAAGATACTATATCACAGCCTGAGGAGGACAGTGACCAAAAAGGCAGATGAGAGATATATAGTTATTTCCTTTCATATTCATCATTCCTATGAAAAATTCCTCAAGCATTTTAACTTATCTTTATTGTGATAGATTCTGTGTGGGATTCTAAAGATTCAGAGTTAAACCTAACTCCTACCCTCAAAGTGCCTGTCATCTGTTAGGCGGAAGAAATCCAGTGTAACATACATCAGATTAGAAGTGCCTTTTCTGTACTCCCTGATTAAAAAGCTGATACAAGACCATTATTCAGTCATTAGGCTCTCTGAGTACACACAATCTGAATTCTGAATAAAAGGAGATTTAGGGACAAGAAGTATGTACAGGAGAGAACTCAGTGGGTCTTCAGCAAAGAATGGAGTTGTCTGAGTTTCTGCCTAGAGTGCTCCTGGCTGTCAGGGGCTCTGTTATTTCCAGAAAATAGGCTGTGACTTTCCTCCTATGTTTTCTACATATCCATTAAGATATGAGTCTTCCTATAAATATTTAAGAGCCAACCTTAGCTTCCCATTCTGTGTGGCTGAATAAGATTTTTAGTTTCAAGAAGGGCTCCCTTGAATTCTGCTGTATTTCTCTTCAGAAAGCCAATCAGTTCACAGGAGAGTGCTGTGCTATACAAGCATCTGACATCTTTAGGACTGCAATCCCAAACCCTGCCTCTGCAGGACACTACACAGAATGTGTGATAAAGGCACTGCTCGTTTGTTAGTTCTCTCTGACACATGAGAGCTTATGGTGTTTGATTTAAAGGAAAATCTTGAAATGAATTCATAATTTGAGATACAGCATAAGAATGCTTTAAAAAACAAAGATTAATTTCAAGACTACTTATAAATGCATATGGTATTATGGTTTGGATGTTCAATGTCTTGCAAAGACTGATATGCAAATTCTTGGTAACCAGCACGGTGCTACTGGTCGGTGCTACAAGTATATAAGAGCTGGGGCCTTATGAGAGGTTCTTAAGTCATTGGGGTGTACTCTCAAAGGTGATTGTGGGACCCTGCCTATTTTCTCTCTTCTCTGATTTCATATGTGACTAATGTCCTAAATCTACTTCCACCATTATGTGCCACCATCTGTTGCCCTCACTAGGATGAGGTACCATACCTGCGAATTTCCAAAATTGTGCATTAAATAAACCACTTTTTACTTTAGAAGTAGCTCAGGTTAGTTATTTCATTACAGTGATGGAAACTAATTTACATGGTGTATGTTAAAATGTGAAGGAATTTATTGTGTGAACTAAGTAAATGAATAGTAAAAATTCTTGGACTGTGTTTACATTTTTAAAAGAAAAGCGTACCTTTTTTTTTTGGCACGGGGTATCAAACTCAGGTCCTTGCACTTGCAAGGCAGGCAGCGGAACCACTGAGCTAAATCCCTTGCCCTGAAAAGTGTAATGTTTGAAATGGGCTTCAGTGGAACTCCTGGGAAGTGGAAAGAATTTACAAGGGATTGTAGGCAAGATGCAGTTGATATACTCTGGTGAACCAGGTGTGCAGAGAACAGGAGAATGAACACTGACTTTAAATAAGCATGAAGAACTCAAAGGAGAAGTGGTTTTGGAATTTAAATTTATCAATAGGTAACTGGTGAAAGAAGATTTTGGGGAAAGGAAGTAACAATAAAAATTTACGACTTACAAAATACACTTGCTTAAGAACAGAGACTAGAAGTAGGTGACTGGCATAGCGCTAAGCTGTTAATAGAATTGCTTAGAAAGAAAGTGGTAGTTGTGCTTGGAGGAAAGATTCACAGAATTTGATAGCAAAATGAGCAGCCGGGTGAAAAACAAGTCACTCAGCAAGGCC